CTGGTGTGCCAGCCACTCCTCCCAGCTTAGTGTCATCAGCAAACTTGCTGAGGGAACACTCTGTTCCCTCATCCAGGTCATTGATGAAAATATTCAACAACACCGGTCCCAGTACCGACCCCTGAGAGACTCCAGTAGTCACAGACCTCCAACTAGATTCTGCCCTATTGACCACAACTCTCTGACTTCTTCCTTTCAACCAGTTCATGAACCACCTCACTACCTGACCATCAAGACCACACTTCCTCAGCTTATCTACGATGATGCTGTGGGAGACGGTGTCAAATGCTTTACTGAAATCAAGATAAACCACATCTACCACTCTACCATCATCTGTCCACCTAGTTACTTCCTCATAGAAGGCTATAACGTTGGTCAAACATGACTTCCCCTTGGTAAAACCATGTGGACTGCTCTTAATGACCCCCTCATCCTTAAGATGCCTAGATATAATGCCAAGAACAAGTTTTCCCATCACCTTTCCAGGGATGGAGGTGAGGCTGACAAGTCTATAGTTACCTGGGTCCTCCTTCTTGCCCTTCTTGTAGACTGGAGTGACATTTTCTTTCCTCCAGTCCTCAGGCACCTCTCCTGTTGCCCACAACTTACCAAAGATGTTGGAGAGTGGCCTAGCAATGACCTCCGCTAGTTCCCTTGCCACCTGCAGGTGTATTCCATCTGGATCCATCAATTTATGGATGTCCAGATTGCTCAACTGATCCCTAACTCAAACCTCATCTACCAAAGCAAACTCCTCCTTCATCCTGACTTCTTCTGGGGCTATAGGAATCTGGGGATCCTGGGGAGAGTCTCTAGCAGTAAAGACAGAGGCAAAGAAGGCGTTCAGCACCTCTGCCTTCTTTATATCCTCTGTCTCCAGGGCACCCACCTCATTCAGCAGTGGACCCACATTGCCTCTAGTGTTATTTTTATCTGCTATGTATTTGAAGAAGCCCTTTCTATTGTCTTTGACCTCACTAGCAAGGTTTAGTTCCAAGGAGGCCTTAGCTTTTCTTATTGCCTCCCTACATCCTCTGACAACAGTTTCATATTCCTCCCAAGTGTCCAGCCCTTCCTTCCATGACCCATAGATTCTCTTTTTTCACTTGAGTTTGCCCAGCAGTTCCTTTTTTAACCAAGCGGGTCTCCTGGCTCCCTTACTTGATTTCCTACCCATTGGGATGCTCTGATCCTGAGCTTGGGAGAAGTGGTCCTTGAATGTTGATCCAAATGCCACATCCAAATGACCCTTAAGTACATCCAGGGATGGTGACTCAACCACCTCCCTGGGCAGCCTATTCCAGTGGCTAACCACTCTTTCTATAAAAAAAAAAATTCCTAATGTCCAGTCTAAACCTCCCCTGTTGCAGCTTGAAGCCATTCCCTCTTGTTCTGTCACTAATTACCTGTGAGAAGAGACCAGCAGCAACCTCTCAACAATGATCTTTCAGGTAGTTGTAGAGACTGATGAGGTCTCCCCTCAGCCTCCTCTTCCTCAAACTAAACATTCCCAGCTCCTTCAAGTGCTCTTCATAAGATTGATTCTCTAGGCCCTTCACCGGCTTTGTTCCCCTCCTCTGTACTCGCTCCAGCACCTCGATATCTCTCTTGAATTGAGGTGCCCAAAACTGGACACAATACTCCAGGTGTGGCCTCACCAGTGCTGAGTACAGGGGGACAATCACCTCTCTCCTTCTGCTGGTCACACTATTTCTAATCCAAGCCAGGATGCCATTGGCTTTCTTGGCCACCTGGGCACACTGCTGGCTCATGTGCAGGCAGCACTTGTCCATTAGAGCCCCCAGGTCCTTTTCTGCCAGACACTTTCCAGCCACACTTCCCCAAGCATGTAGCATTGCCTGGGGTTGTTGTGGCCCAAGTGCAGGACTTGGCCTTGTTGAAGCCCAGACCATTAACATTAGCCCAATGATCCAATCTATCCAAGTCTCTCTGTAGAGCCTCCCCATCCTCATGCAGATCAACACTCCCACCTAACTTGGTGTCATCTGCAAACTTACTGATAATACACTTGACACTGTTCTTGTGACTGGCCACCAGCTGGATTTGACTCCACTGACCACCACTCTTTGGGCCTGACTGTCCAGCCAGTGCTTGATCCAACAGATCGTGTGCTCATCCAGGCCATGAGCAGCCAGTTTCTTTATGCAAGTTCTATGGGGAACAGTGTCAAATGCTTTTTGGAAGTCCAGATAGACAATATCCACAAACATCAATTTCAGGTATTTTCAGATGCTCCCTTTATCTGCAGCTATTTCACATCTAGTCACTCTTGCAGCATCTAAATACCCCCTTCAGCAGCACAAAACACACCCCAATAAGCTGTCCAGAACTGCAGAATAACAGAAAGTGACTAAAAATGCTACAATTGCAAACCTGTAACATATTTGATCAATAAATCAGTGCTCTAATAGAAGAAACACCTTTAAAAAAGAAAGGCTAATTCCAGCACTGTGACTAGAAATCATTAATTTAATGCAAGACTCATGATGTTTTTCTTAAAACCTCAGCTCCCTGAGGCATATTTAGGCCTCTCTTGTGCCCAGCTCCTGTGATTACAGAGCAAAATGAATCTCAATGACCTGAATTTCAGAAAGCACATTGAAACCTGTATTTGTTTATTCCAATTGTTCTTAAATTAATCTTACCATTTTGGAGGAATGGAGGGAACTGACCTATTTGTTCTCAACATCTGGATAAGACAGTACTGCTCCTGGTATTCCAATCTACACATAATTATATGTTCTCTCTTGGCAGTTTTATCATATAATTGTAAAAAAAGTCCTCATTCATACTAAATGGAAATCCCCAACAAGAACTTTGGTGGGCATCTTTCTGATGGAGCTCCTACAGTCCTGTAGCCTTTGCTGGCTTGGCTCCATGTGTGTTGTCAAGTACGTGTTCAGACATGATCACATTGATGCATGCACATATGTAGAGAAAAATTAAAGAGGAGTGGGAAAGAACAGTATTTCCTGGCTACTCATCAAGAAGAATTACATGTTTCCAAAGGCCATTTGTTTCTTCTTTATTGTCTGTTAACAACTTTGACAGGCAAATCAACAGCATCAAAAGGTTAAAGATACAGAAAACTAACCTACAAAGTTCTTAACAGAAGCACAGAGAAGCTCTTGGACATCAAGATGATACAGTTATAGCTTTTGAAACCACTAACTTTGCAATCATATTCTTCCACTCCTCTCTCAGAAGTGCATAAGCACAATGGCAATTCTCAGTCTTTACGAGCGCCTTAACATTAAAACAAACGTAACTGAGGCAGGGGCAGTAATGCTCCAAGCTCTTCTTGTGCCTGGGGCTGACAGTATCCCAGAATTCATGCTGTCACTGTTTGCAAGAAAGCATAGACTGTCATCCCTTGCTGATCAAAGAGTCATACTTTAAAAAAAAACAACAACACTAAACAAAACAAAAAAAACACTAAACAAAACAAAAAAACCAACAACAAACCAAATAATCTGAACTTTAAATGAATTTGGCTAATGCCATTGGCAAAATGTCTTGTCTCCCACACACCGTAAACCACAGAGAGGCAAGGAGAGAGAGGAAGGAAATACACACTGGAAAGGCAGATGGAAAGATGAAAGCATTGTGGATGAACACTAATACAAAAATGCATCATCTGTCTGCCCTCAATCAATTATTATTGCCTAGCCAGGACTGATAACCTGAAGTATAAAGGATTCTATGGTTTTCATACTACTTACCTCATCATTTCCCCCTCCATACAATATAATTTCCTATTCTGAATACATAGCTTATCATCAAGGTAGCAAAACATGACTAAATGTATAATGATAATGAACACAAATTACTGTTCTCAGATGGTATCTCAAACACTGCCTGTTTAGCTACCCATAGTTTCAAGAAGGGTACACCTCATTAACAGTGCAATGTACATAGCTAGATAGGAATGATCATCAAAAGAAACAAAACTAAAGAAATCAAATTGTCAGATCACACCTCATATTGACCCCAAATCATTAGTCGTGACATTACATAGCACAATAAACCTTAATTCGACACAGAATAATCCTGGGTTTTGTTTTTAGGGAGGGTTTTGATGCTTTTACATTTACCATAACATATAACTGCAGCTCAGTCATGACAGCACTATGCAACACATCTCAAGAGCTTATAACACATCAAAAAGTTTTACCATCTTACCTGGCTCTGTACAGTTCTTTTCCTCATGTGTCCCATTAGGTGATGCCATCAACCTTCTGTTCCTCCATATTTCTGACCAAATGCGTCTGTCTGCAATAGTTGATTCTTGCCCTGTATTAAACAGAAAGAGGTTATGCTCACTGTCTTTATTTTTTTTCCTGCATTGTCTTAAGCAGACTACATGCCTCCACTATTGAGGAGCATGGACTGACCATCAGTATATAAGCACAACAAAACCAAGGTGTGACTGGGGCACAGGATGCCAGGTGTTCCTAGCTACAAAAGGTGAAACTAACTACAGAGGTGCAGTATCAGAGCTGTTAACATGTTCCAGCTATCAGAAACTTGCTGTGACCCACAACAGGAAAACATTCTGTGGGAAACAAATGTTGAAGCCTGCACCTGTGAAACTCAACACCTAGCAATTCCTATAGATGAAACCAGCCCAGCTATGCTGACATGAGCCACAATCACACTTCCATCTAGTCATCTGCACTCGCACATGCTACATGACTGCTTCATCAAAAAATAGAAATGCCTACGGACACTTTGGTTTATTCTGAGTCTGGGGGCTGATCTTTTCAGTGTTGTGTATAGTTGATAACATCGGTCCCTGCATAACTTGTCAAGGAAAACAAAAAAAATAACTGCACTGTGAATCCCCGCAGCTTAAGAAAAACAAGCTTCCTTAGAAGTCAATGGAGCTTTTGCCTAAACTCTTATTTCAGTAGCATTCTCAATGGAACTTGCTGAGTATAGAAGGAACACTTGTGATAATACAGGGTATGCAATTATAATAATCAAAGGAAGAACAGAACCCCTTGATTAAATTATTTCCATCTCAACCTAATCAATTTCAAATGAACACATTATAATAAAAATTATTCCATTTTTTTCTGCCAATCTTACACTTACATTCAGTCATCATGTAATGCTTGTGTTTTCCACAGCGACTCTTGCAAAAAAACTAGATTGGAAGTTAGTTTGGCTAGAGTATTTGCTAAAATAATATGATGCCACAATTACAAGAAACAGAGAACAGATGGTCAGTGCTTATGGATATAATATACTGTAAATTAGCCAGCTGAAAAAAAGCTACCTGATGCAGCATACCATCAAAAATTAGGTTATGAGGGATTTAGTTGATAACCCAGGAGATTAAAAACTTTCATTAGTCATGACATTTTTCATGCAAACCTAAAAAAGGTCTCAAAAACTGCTGTCTGCAACAACAAAAAAAAATCCAACACAAACAACCTTCAATCTATGTAAAGATAATCATACTCCAACTATTTGCTTTCACAAACCAGTAAGTATATAAAAATAACTAGTTGGTACAGGGAAAGAAGAAAAAGCATAGGCATGACAAACAGTTCTAAACAAAGCAAACAACAGCATTCACTAAAACCACAATTAAAAAAAAAGTTGAAAGTTCTAAGATAAGCAATATGCTAATATGGTCTAAGACACTGTATTATTATATGGGTGGCTTGTTGTCATCTTGGAGATATTGTAAAGAACCCAGGCAATAATATGAGCACAAAAGCATGAGAAAGTATGACAAGTTCCACCAGCTTTTTCTTCCCCTGAAGTACACGTTTTAACTTCAGCTTTAATTTAAGCAGATGATCCATCTTAATTCTCCTAAAATCTGATTTTCTTATATTAAACGTGGATGTAGGATCTGGGCTTAGTTTGATCTTGTTCTTAAATCTTCAAGGACTGTTGGCAGTCCTACCTAGAGATCCATGTGTTGTCCCAGCAACCTTACACTTCATAACTCAAGACAAGGACCTGAAGCTGCACACTTACAGCCCAAACTGTGCCAGCAGGTGGGGTTTGGGGGGGGATGGGAATAAGGTAATTATAAATGCACCAGTTTACCAACATGGTACTTGCACAGAGGATGCAACTGGATCCAGTTTTGGGCTCCTCAATTCAAGAGAGACAAGGATCTACTGGAGAGAGTCCAATGGAGAGCTATGAGGATGACTCTAAGGGACTTGAACATCTCTCTTATGAAGAAAGGCTGAGAGAAGTGGGGTTGTTTAGTTATGAGAAGGCTGAGAGGGGATCTTATTAATGTCTATAAATATCTGAGGGGTGGGTGTCAAAAGGAAGTGGCCAGTCCCTTTTCTGTGGTGCCCAGTTATAGGACAAGGAACAATGAGTATAAGCTAGAACATAGGAAGTTCCACCTCAACATGAGGAGAAACTTCTTTATTATGAGGGTGACAGAGCACTGGAACAGGCTGCCCAGAGAGCTGGTTAAGTCTCCTTCTCTGGAGACTTTCAAAACCCACCTATATGTGTTCCTGTGGGGCCTGCCCCAGGTGGTCCTCCTTTGGCAGGGGGGTTGGACTAGAACATCTCTGGAGGTCCCTTCCAACCTCTAACATTCTGTGATTCTATGAACTGACCTTCTATAAAATACGAGATCCGTGCTGCTCCTTCCCTAACATACAGAATTTTCTGTAAAATCCACTATGTAATGAGCAGGCAGGGGAAGAAACTGGAGAGAAGAAGCAGTTATAGCTGATAGGTTTACAGCCTGAGGATAAAACCGAGAGGTGGCCCGAAGTTGCAGAGGGGACCACAAGCGGCTGCATCTCCGATGCCGCGGCAGGGGGGC